CGACAGCTTGGAATGCAATGACGCGGAATTAGCGTCAGTGCATCGGGGGTGCGAACCTCAAACCCTCTGACTTGATCGAGTGACCTCACGCCCCATTAATTGCGAGTCAAATTATGCATCGTAACATGAAAAAATTTGGAATTGAACTTTTTCCAACTTTGATGTTGCATTTTCAAGTAAGTTTACAATTTATATAATTCTGACGTACATTGTCGGTCTAGTGTTGGACCCTAATAAGTTGCGGTAACTCTAACTTGTCTTAAATTTGCAGTTAATAGATGATTATGAAATTTATAATTTATTCGGTAATGTAGCAGGTTTATTTTTATGACTCTACTTTCCTCTTTTTTCACTCTGGAGTTTTTGCTCGAGCTCAGGTTCAGAGCATGACTTGGAGGTTTCAAACGAAAGGCAGTAGCGTCCGCGGCTGTGATCGAGCAAGAACAAAAGAGATGAGTTGCATGATAATTTGTCGCCTTTTCAGGTCCTAAATATCAATAATTTACGGTCCAAAACGCATTTCTTTCCACATTCCAGTCCTAAATGAACATTTTTACCTAAAGGTATGAAAGTGTCATGTATATTATGGTTCATTTCAACTCCATATATTAATTTCTCATTTACTGAGTAAAAGTTTCTGGTAACAAACAGCCTGACGCGGGCGGTAATTTTAAAAAAATATGTCTAATCACTCACACTGGTATCGAATTCGTCTCATAGTCTCGTTATAATAGATTCGTTATTAAGGTAAATACTTCAGGCCACTATTTGAATTAATTTTCAATCATAGCCTAAAGGTGGAAGCAATCATGGTTATAAACATTCTAACTTACTTCAATGCTTAATTAAATGTACTAGCCAGACAATAAATAATGTTGGCGTAAGGTTGCATGTAAAAAACGTGACGTCAGTGATGAGTCATTATTGTCTTCAACTGAAAATGACTATGTGGCGCAAATGAATTGAAATGAATTGGAATGAATGAATTAATTATAACATAAAAGCAGAAGTTTATACAAAATAGAGACATTCAGAAAACAAAAACATTGTTTAAAAGCATTCGACCACGAATGCGAGTTTTACGTGAATGAAAACTATAACTCAAATTCATACAGGGAAACTATACAACTTTAAATTATATACTATTCGCACTTTTATTAATTACCAAAAAGTTTCACTAACGTTCAGCGAATCAGATCTCGTCAATTGAATTCCGATTTCTTCTATGTCCGTTACTATGACCGCATTAAACCGCGCAGCATGGCACGCATATTTTTGTCCAATAAGTGCTTGCTAAATGAGGTGTCTATTCATCTATGCGGCGTAGATATTTTTCAGCTATGATTCAGATGTTCGTCGGTGTCTAACGAACATCCTGGCGTCGCAAATTGGGATTTAATAGACTCTGTAATTGACACGTTAGCCTGCCTAAGTATCCTGATTGCTTGTATTGGCACATATAGGCTGTGTACCACGACACATGCGTGTATGACAGCGTCATATATCGCTGCATTTTCTATGGCCAAACAACGGCCAATGGTCGGCCAGCTCTAATGCGGCAATGATTGTTATCTGTGTTACTCGCCTGAGATATGATGGGCCGTTGCGGAAAATGAAGATAAATACTCGTTAATAGTTGATCACTTACACGGTGATTCAACGGAGACGAAGTGGTCACTTCAAAGTAAGTTGTAAGTTAAAGTAAAACCTGTTCAGTATTTGTTAAAATTAAACGAGAACTTTCCAAGTGTGTAAAGAAATAGGTTCCCGGCTATCGGAATTAGTTTATTTGCAGTGATGAGGCATAAAAACTGAAGAAATGCCACGAACTTCCGCCCACTTCGGAATAAACTCAAATGATATTGCCACAATAATGTACTGCTGTCTGCAGACGCTATGCTCCTTCTGTCTGCAGACGCTATGCTCCTTCTGTCTGCAGACGCTATCCTCCTTCTGTCTGCAGACGCTATCCTCCTTCTGTCTGCAGACGCTATCCTCCTTCTGTCTGCAGACGCTATGCTCCTTCTGTCTGCAAACGCTATGCTCCTTCTGTCTGCAGACGCTATCCTCCTACTGTCTGCAGACGCTTTCCTCCTACTGTCTGCAGACGCTATCCTCCTTTTGTCTGCAGACGCTATGCTCCTTCTGTCTGCAGACGCTATGCTCCTTCTGTCTGCAGACGCTATGCTCCTTCTGTCTGCAGACGCTATGCTCCTTCTGTCTGCGGACGCTATCCTCCTTCTGTCTGCAGACGCTATCCTCCTTCTGTCTGCAGACGCTATCCTCCTTCTGTCTGCAGACGCAATCCTCCTTCTGTCTGCAGACGCTCTGCAGACGCTATCCTCCTTCTGTCTGCAGACGCTATCCTCCTTCTGTCTACAGACGCTATCCTCCTTCTGTCTTCATTCAATGCTGCCTGTTGTCTGCAGACGCTATTTTTCCTGCTGTCTGCACACGCTACTATTCTAAAGTCTGCAGTCTGCAGACGCTACTCTTCTGCTGTCTGCAGCCCGCTAAAGCTTGCAGCGACGACTCAATCCATCAAGTCATGCGGCAGCCTGGAGCAGAATTATACATGGCAGTTCATTGTAGCGCAGTTCACGGTCAGTCTGTGCGGTGACGCGCGCGCGAGGCACACAGCGGCTTATATGGCAGGTTTAAGGCGGCCAGCTTCAATAAATCGTAGATTGCACTTCAAAAAAATGTTTTATTTTTAAATTGAACATTTTATTTCGATGGGAAGCTTTCTAATCCTTGACAAACATCGAAGTTTGAGACGAGAGAAGTTGCTTTACTTATCACCTACTGCAAATAGGTTCAGAGGTGATAGCTAGCACATTGTCTCTACACATTTACTATTTATTAAACGCATTAAGTGAATTAGTCTGATGTTGTGAAGTCATGTTGTAAATGACAAATTGGTTATAGGTTACATGATCGCAAATTGGTTAACGTTTCGGCTATATGAATTGAATATTATAAATGTGAATGAATTGACGTCACATGAAAATTTCGTTTTTTTTTTCAACTGAAATTACTGAGCACCAGGAATGCTAAGTTCACAAAAGTGTGCTGGAATTTCAGGACAAATGCCAAAAAATTACATGTTATGATTGGTTTACCAGTGACAGCCAAATATTGACTAATGCGCGATTGATGCAAAATTAATGGCGATTGAATTCCTTTCATGCTAGGATGCATGCAAAATAATTTGCTTATAAAAATAATTTGCTTTAGGATCATTCATCAGCGGGAATATTTCATTGATTTCTATAATTAAATGAAGACCTATCAAAGTATGTGTAAAATCAGGTGCATCAAGAAATACTTGTATGATTTGTTGAATTTAGATTCTTTTGATAACATGGGAACCAATTAATTACATTCTCATCAAATTATGTGCATCAAGAACCCCACTGCGCTGTTTCACAAGTCAATATCAGATTTTTCACATTATTAATTATCAAGTGCATCCAAAATTATGGTATTTGGAGTGAATTTCAACATCATTGTCGTACACGCCTCAACAACGTCGCTAAATCCCCGATTGTGGTACGTGGAGTGAATTTCAACATCATCGCTTCACTCGTTTCAACATGGCTGCATTTAAAATTATGGCATTTGGAGTGAATCTCAACATCATTATGGCAGGCGTCTTATAAACGTCACTGCATCCCGAATTTATGGTACGTGGAGTGAAAGCTTCACTCGTTTCAACAACATCGCTGCATTTAAAATTATAGTATTTGGAGAGAATTTCAACATCATCATCGCGTGCGTCTCATTAACGTCGCCGAATTGTGACGCCATATAAACGTCACCCGAAGCTCACTACAAGGACAAGATGACAAGCCTGCAGGCGATGTGCTCAAAACAATCACTTGAAAGCCCCAACATCATTTTCCCATGGTTTTTAACTATTATGAAAATTGGCCCCTTTGTTTGCGGCCATGCATGTCATACGGGACGGCTGGTCTGCTAAATTTCCGTTAGATTTTGCTCATACACTTCGTAAATGAAATCCTGGAAAATCAGAAGCTTAATAATAAACTTAATTTCGCAAATTGAAAGTCGTGTAAAATATTATGGTACATTGATTTTGCGCCGTGAAATTTCATGCATCAAAATAAAACAAATTGTTCAGAGTGAGAGGGAACCTCAAACTCATTTCGGAAAAAATATGTGTGAACAACATAATAGTTTACTTCCTGACAATTTGAGATAGAAAAAAGGTCATCAGCGTAGCATTCATCTTAGATAATAATAACAATTGAAAAAAAATATAGTTAAAAATAAAACCGTTATTACTTTACCAGATGGGAATAAAATGAGGGAATATAATTAGTTTGTCACCCGATAATTTGCCATGGAAGTATAATTAGTTTCCAAAACGATAATTAGGAGTGGGAATCAGTCTGGTCGAAGGCCATTAGGATTTGAGGATCCAATTAGGCGACCGGTTTTTAATTTTCAGGAACAGTGGAATATTGAGAGGGTCTTGGCGTAGAGGGGAAACAAGGGTGAGGGTGAGGAAAGCCAGGAACAAGAGAGGGAAGGAGTATTTTAATTGGTTTAATATAATGTAATATAACTTGCAACCTTTCATTGTTATGGAATAGACAAAACGTTTAAAATTGGGCGTGTATCTCCGATTTATATATATAAGAAATCATATTTCTGCTTTAAATGCCAAAACACATATTAAATATTGACTTTTACATTTTAATTGGTTTAATGTAATGTAATATTACTTGCAACCTTTCATTGTCACGGAATGGATAAAACGTTTGAAATTGGGCGTGTATTTCCGATTTATCTAAATAAGAAATCATATTTCTGCTTTAAATGCGAAATCACATATTAACTTTTGACATCTACAGATGACTGTAACACGTCATGGCCTTAATAACATAAGATAATCGTTATCTATAATAATAGTTGAAGCATTTAAAATTAAAGTTTAAATTCAAAGCAAAATACAAATAATTGTTAAATCTGACCTGTGACGGCGCTTCTTTTTCTTCTTTTTGCCGACGCCCGTTGGGTTGCCGTCGAAATTTTTACTCATCGAGTCCGAGGAATCCAGGCCTGAAAATAACAGAAAAATTCCGTAAATTCAATTAGGATTATTTTAAAAACCGTCGTTTTACAAAAGGATATATATTTTAGAAGTCAATATTTATAAAAATTGTTATTGCAAGAACGCTAGGGTTGATATCGGACTGATTTTGTTCATTTCACCATAATGATCATGAATAGTGGTAGATTAATATTAATTGAAAAAAGTTAAAATTGGTATTAATAATTGATAAAAATAATGAGCAATCATTGAACTGGCTTGCAATTTCTTCCAAGAATTTATTCACTGATTTGTCAGTGGATGTGAGTCAAGCTGCCTACGTGAGGTCGTCATTTAGGCGAATAATAATCAATCGTCTAGAGATGCCCTGACTGCGTCATCGCCGGCCTATGAACTACTAGGCCGCATTATTATTGGCCTGTCAATGTCCCGGACATCATTGGCGGCTCAAAATTTTCAGAAAAATATCATCGGCGGAAAATAAACTTTATGGTCGTAACACCAGTGCTTATGAATAACATGACCTAATCATTGGCTCAAAATAAACTGCAAGGCCGCAACACCCTCGCCCATAAATGGCATGGCCGCAACACACTTGCCCATAAATGGCATGGCCGCAACACTCTCGCCCATTAATGGCATGGCCGCAACACTCTCGCCCATAAATGGCATGGCCGCAACACTCTCGCCCATAAATGGCATGGCCGCCTTATCGGAGGCCTGAATTCGGTCAAACCTGCCGCTGTTGATGCACCTACAATTTTAAGTTGAAAGGAACCGCAGGCCCACGCAGCAAGTTGGTGTCTAATAAGAGCGTGCGTTAGAATTGGTATTGGAAGTTGCGTGATCTTGTAGGTCTAGTAGAGCTCTTACAGTGACAGCTAACGATGCTGTCCGCGATCTACGATTATTGCTACACCGAAGACCTCAAAAAAGAACAATGTGCTGAAAGGCTTCTTTCTTTCGCAGCTCTCTCTGATCTCCGTAGAAAAGTGAAGATCAAAAAGCGTAGAACAGTGGGTTGCTCGAGGTTCTTTTAACAGTTTTTGATTATGTTTGAATTTGTTTCATCTCATCACTGAGTTTTTATTTTTAAGTGGTGCATTATTAATATTTCTAACTGTTCAATTTGTATTGTTAATAATTATTCTGGATGTATGTAGAGAACGCATGGAATTATGTCTTCACTCAAGAAATTTAGCAATTACGCCAAAGCAATTTTAAGATTTTGATAAAATGGCGAGTTCAATCTAAAAATTGATAAAATTTTGAATTCAATCTAGATATATTTTAGGTTAGGACATCGCATGATATTAGGCATTAGGAAACGCTCGCGAATAATGATTACTGTTCGTGTTTACGATAAAATAAATGTGAGGAAATGGCACGAATATGAAGGATATGTAGATGTAAATGATTTTTATATGATCATTTTGTACGTTTTGAAAAAGTTTGGCTCGAAGCACAAATTGCGAATAAGCAAAATCCTTTAATTCGGGAAGCGCTTCATTCAAGCGGTGAACATTTTTTCACACTAGGGAGTTTTTGCGTGACGAAGCAGAATTGTTCGTTCCCTTAGCAATGCCCATGGAAAATTCTGCCCATTATGCAAATGTGGATGTCATTTCATGTTCACAGTTGGCAGTGGGATGCTCTTATGACGCTTGCTATTCCTCAAACTACCGTCGACCACGGCACTGAACTCTTCCAGATGCAAACAGACTTTCTAAACGAATATAATTACTAAATTTGTCTGTGCTCTCTAGAGGAAAATAGTTTATACTTTCATTGATTTAAATTCTAAAGGTAAATTTTGAGATATTACACACTTATTTTCATCATTATCCATCTTATGTTTATGAAAATAATCGGGAGGTAAACTCTTAACATTTCCTTACCAATGAAAGAGGCTTGATATTCTTAAATGTTCCTTATCTTCAATGACAAGAAATTGAGTTAACATAGAATGTAATTATATTATCGCAAACTTGGCAGTAATAAATTAGTGGTCAATTTTTTTCAGGCGGAATTTAAAATTTCAAGTTTATATGGTAATATCACGTAAAACTTCCTAAGAATCATTTAAAAATATGATGTTGTACAGCTTTGATAGAATGAGGACAATTTATATATCAATGTTGAGCGTCTGCTCAACATTGATTATAGCAACATTTTATATATCAGGTAACATCTGGATAACTAAATTTGAATGCTTTACAGATGCTTGGTTAGTGTGAAAAATTGGTGAAGATAGAAATATTTCGATGAAAATATTTTCCTTCAATTGTTTTTCCTGCCTTCTTAATAATTTTCATGCTGAAATTATGCGAATTCACATAATTATCACATGTATTAGAGAGCCAAATAAGAGAAAATTGCCAGAAATAAAAGCTGCATTGCGTAAATTGAATATTTCGAACACATGTCTCAATTTTAATTTTTCCTCTCAAGTTCAGAGAATTAATCAAAAAAATTAGAAGTGTGCCAACATTCAACCTGAACAATGTAATCATTACTCAATGTACACCAATACATCAGTAGCATCCACAACAACCACGATGAAAAACTAGAATTGGTTCGCTAAGTAAAATAAAACCGAATTAAAGTTGTTTTGCTCTCGGTATTTCTCCGCAAATATTACGCATTTGATTAAAAGAAAAGGAAACGATCGAGTCGCTTCATCGAAAGTGCGCGCAACACTTCACGATACTCGGGGTTCCAGGGGGATAGCCATCAAGTTTCGATCAGTGCCCCATAAGGTGACGGTGGCCTCGATGGTTTTGAGACGGTCTTCCATAACGGGATTGGAGGCGTCGACAACGGCTGCCGGAGCCTAGGGACCGACATTCGTCACCATGTGTCCGGATTGAGCAATTGGAAGCCGCAATGATCAATTGATTCGGATGACTGTAATCTTACGAATTGAATTCGCCGATCCTTTTTGTGTAGCTTCCGTGGAAACAGTGTTTGTTTCACAATAAAGTGGAGTGCGCTGCTCGACTGGTTCATGTTACAAACTGTTGCACCCACTCGCTGCTGGAACAGTCGTGGAAGCTCTCGTTTTCAGCGGCTTTCAAGAAACTTCACAAACAACATAATGCAAATGAGGCTTCAAACATTTTCACTCCTCATCACATTGTTGTGAAGTTGAAGGTGGAAATGCTGTGACTTGCGAACTATGGTCGAGGTGCTTCATTTTATTCAGGTGTGCGTCCGCAATTCGCCCTCAGAGAACCATGAGGCAATGCGTATGCGGACGAGTGGTCGTGCGGGTCCCGGGAGGCCCTATGAACGGCATGCACATCGTCCGCAGCATCCTACAATATGACCACTTCATTCCGTTTTTATTCCATCCGTCGCACGTTTATTCCTACTCAAGCAAAGTAGTTTGATTTTTTATTGTTAGCCGCCAAGAAATGGCCTCCGCAAGAGGAGATCGGAGCCTCCCTATGGCTTTCCTCCTCCCCAAGATGGCTTTTGTGGAGGAGCAGCAGCGAGTTGAACTATGAAAAGCACCTTTATTTCTATTACGGTGCCGCCCTCTAAAAGACACTCATGGCTTCTGTCCATCGCTCCTATGGATGTTGCTAGTAGAATTGAGCGAACAAAGTACGGTCGTTAAGGTTAAAATATTACGGCACCTGTGTTTCTCAGACACTATCGTACTCCGAAATGTACTTATGTGCTCATATTCATCGGGGTTTGTTATATTAAACGTAGGATTAAAGAATGCAAGTAGTCGTTTACAAAGTAGGTGTTAACAAATTGTCCATTTACTCCCAACTGCAATGATATGAAAGCCTGCAGTGCGATCAGTTAAAAGGCTCTGCACTGAGCTTTTAGTGAGCAAGCGAGCGGTATAATCGTAAATTTAAAAAGTTATTTCGTGAACTTTTGCATACCAGTTATGCGTCTTAAGTTCAGGATTTATGAAGTAATTTCACGGCATAGAAAATGAGTAGCTCGCAACTCACGTTCATGAAGTGCTCATCAACTGGAACGCTTAGCTCTGCGGCCTCACACCGGGTATGTTTTTTATTAACTAAATCCTAATTATGGAAATAACAACAAAATTAGCAATTTCTGTAGTGAAATTATCAAATAGAACTAAATGGTATGTAAAATAATAAAATAACTAAAATGAAAAAAAAATCTGCGTTTATGTAATGAACATTGGAAAAAACTTTTACGTGCAAGAGCGAGATTAAATGAATGTATGCTTGGGGCTAAAGATTAATTTCTATGATCATGTAATGGAAGTATTTTCTCTTACATCGTTCCAAATTTTTTGGTGTTATAATACCATACTATATTTAATTCTACAACTTCAATAATGTTGTTAGAAAATACCACGAAATTGAACTAATTTGTCGCATATTCGAGGTTTATTCAGCTTTCATCTATATGGGTATATAAATTACAAACACTTTAGAGCATTCCGGTTTCATTATTAAATTTATAAGAGCTTATGAAAAAAATAGTTTCAATTTAGTTTAATTACCATCGTAGACGCAAATAGTTTAATTACCATCGTAGACGCAAACATTTACTGAACTTAAAAATAATTCAACTCGTGAAGAATCAATTATCTTTAATGATGAGGAATTTCAAAATTTTGCAGTTTTGGAAATATTTACGCAAAAATATCTGCAAAAATCTGTTTTCTTCATATTGTTCATATCGCTTGCGGTACAAGTTATAAATTTCAAGAATATGCTTACATTGGCTTTTTCGAACAATTGGTTTCTTGCTGCATATAAACCTTAAATTTTCATAGAAAAAAACTTTCCGCAGTCAGCTGAAATTGAACTTACTTAGATTTTTCAAGTGTTAAAAAATGCAACGTATTTTACTTTGAACAAGAAAGACTATTTACATTCATTCCGTTCTCACAAGTTTTGCATCAATCTATATTATTGCTTTGATGTACTAAACTAGACCGAACGCTCTTATAGTACAATTTCCTAACAAAAACTCATTAATGAGTTTCCAATGAAACTTTAACTGTGTTTTACATTCATTAACGATCATGCATTTCAAAAATGAAAGTGTGCAGCCCTAAGAAAATATTTTGCATCATCAACGTAACGGGCTGAGCTAAGCCGCGTGGCAGGCCGCGGTGTTTAGCGCGGGCTGTGCTGAGATAAGCCGTGTGGCAGGCCGCGGTGTTTAGCGCGGGCTGTGCTGAGATAAGCCGTGTGGCAGGCCGTGGTGTTTAGCGCGGGCTGAGCTAAGCCAGGTGGCAGGCCGCTGTGTTTAGTGCGGGCTGCGCTAAGCTAAGCCGCGTAGCAGGCCGCGGTGTTTAGCGCGGGCTGTGCTGAGATAAGCCGTGTGGCAGGCCGTGGTGTTTAGCGCGGGCTGAGCTAAGCCAGGTGGCAGGCCGCTGTGTTTAGTGCGGGCTGCGCTAAGCTAAGCCGCGTGGCAGGCAGCGGTGTTTAGCGCGGGCTGCGCTAAGCCAGGTGGCAGGCCGCGGTGTTTAGCGCGGGCTGAGCTAAGCCAGGTGGCAGGCCGCTGTGTTTAGTGCGGGCTGCGCTAAGCTAAGCCGCGTGGCAGGCAGCGGTGTTTAGCGCGGGCTGCGCTGAGGCAACCTTGTACGCTGAACACCGTTGCCACACAGTAACGGTGTTCAGCGCAGCGGGCTGCGCTGAGGCTGCGTGATTAGGGCAGGTCGGCCGTGCGCGCCACGCACTGCACTTTACGGCATCCGCGGGGCCGGCGATCACGCCCCAGGGAGTCTTCAGGAAGGAGAAAATGTTGCGATCCGGGGGCGACGCGGGCTGCGGGAGCGAGTGGCTCGAAATTAAGAGAGATTGAAAAAGCAAGCAGCCACCGAGAGACGAGAGATCTTCTCTGGACGCAGATTGACTCCCTCCATTGATCTCTCAGGTGTGGCTTTTGTCTTCTAACCAATGTTGCTGTGGACGCTGTAAATTTAGAATTGTGAATGCTTTAAAAATAATGCATTATAATTAATGTAATGAATCACATCCAGTGAGGATGTGAAGAATGAATGCTTTGGTAGTCACAGCAAAATCAAAGTTAAGTGACATGAATATAAAGCCTGAGTTGTAACGAAAACAAAACTCACCAAAACTCAATAATATTATTAATTTGTAAAATTTATTTGAAAAATTCCTACTTTTGAGGATTAAATTCCTATTAATAGGAATAATACTCGCGTGTAACCGCATGAACATTAAATCTTAGTTTCCCTGTATATGTTCTCGACTGCTATTCAAAAAATTGTAAAATTGTGAATATTGGAATCTAGGAGAGAACTTCGCGTGTTGACTGAAGAAAATCTTTCACTACATGATTTACGATTAAAACGTACAATTTTAAATTTGCGGCGTGAATACCATTTGTGTGCAATGCACACATATGATTTATAATTTAGATTTTTCACCTCTGACCCATTGACATTTTGCCTTTCTCTTACTTATGCGCCTTCTATTTTCCCTCGCGTGTTTTCTCATCATTGTTCCATTTCATATTTCACGCTCCTCGTTCCATCGCTCTTTATTATCCAAGTTTCTATTTTCTTTTCATCCTCTAAATTATATTTTTCATTTTATTTCAACCCCTCAAAGTCTCTTCCCCATAAACCACACGGCGTCGCTCCAATTATTCCCCGCGGACCGTTTAAGACAAAAATTAATTACACTATTTATCGCTACAGCTCCGATGCTTTCTCAATTATCTAATGAATGCTTAGGCTCGGTCACTTGCCGCTTGCGATTTCTTCTTTCTGTCTCACGTTCACATTAGCACGATCTCTCTCTATCTTTATTAAATTTGTTATAATCAATCATTCAATCACTCAGTCAACAATTGATTTCCTTGCCTTTCTCTTACTTGCATTTCTTCTTAAGGGAATGCAATTCATGCTTACCAATTTTCCTTTTCCAGCTATTAAATTTGTAATAATCACTCATTCAATCACTCAGTCAACAATTGATTTCCTTGCCTTTCTCTTACTTGCATTTCTTCTTAAGGGAATATGCAATTCATGCTCACCAATTTTCCTTTTCCAGCTATTAAATTTGTAATAATCACTCATTCAATCACCCAGTCAACAATTGATTTCCTTGCCTTTCTCTTACTTGCATTTCTTCTTAAGGGAATGCAATTCATGCTCACCAATTTTTATTCCCAGCTCATGCCATCTCTCTAGCCGTGAGCAGGACGGTCATCATGGCTCACTCGTTACCACGCAATCAATTGAGTAATAAAGTCGCCACATACCTGGCGACTTTTACTCAGTGTGCCTAGCGATCAGCGTAAACGTAACGATTTGTAGCGTCTGTAATGCGTCGTTCAATTTGACATTCGCTGGAAAACACGTCTTGCAGAGTCCTATTAATGCTCATCCTAAACTCTCGTGGTGCCATTACATGTAGATTTTAGGTAGATGTAAAGTTTTACAGGGCATGCCTTTTTCCAAAAATTTTGAACAAAATAGCAACATTATTTAATAGTTGATCTTTCATGTATTTAGCGCGTTATAACGCAGTGTATCATATAATATTTCAATAGATATAGATAGATATTATTTCAATAGATCGCCCGCTCCTCATAAATAACATGAATTCTTTTAAATATAACTGCAAATATATTTTTCCCAATAGTTGATCTCTAAACTGACAAATTACTTTTTCAAATTAATGAATGCCGACAACCCATTTAATTTTTAGCGCATTTTCTCATTTATGGAAAAAGGGCGCAATTGTTCTCGTCATGTCCGTCCGTCTGTCCGTCTGTCCGTCTGTCTGTCCGTCCGTCCGTCCGTCCGTGACCCTTTTTCGTCGACGAGAAAATGTGCTCTCTGTCACTTACTACAGTGAGTACTGAGTTATATTTTTCGACTAAAATGAATGCAGTACCGTTGAGATGCGAGCACGACCACCACGAGGGCTCACAGCGTGTAGTGGCCTCCGCCAGTCCTACAACGGAGACAAACATGGCCTTTATTTATGACTCTAAAATTTTGTTGCAAGTTCGCTTTTTTAGAGAAAAACATCGCATTTATTTCATTTTGTTGTTGGAATTATTTCGTTAATTGATCTGGCAGAAGGCTATCACGAGTTAAAATCCAGTTTGAATAAATCTAATCATCGGATTTGAAAAAAATTGTAATGTTGAATATATGCAATCATTTTTTGTTGAATAAATGCAATTATTTTTTATTTTTTTAACTATGCAGAAAAAAGGCATTTAGAGCACATTTTTACTTCTTCGTCTTCATCACTTTGCACTCTGAAAGAAAATTGAAATTAATTTTTATGTTTTAGGAAGCAAGATTGTTTTTGAATTGAGTATAGGCTAACACAATAGGAGAAGATATATTTCCCATGCTTTTGATCAATTTGATGTAATGTTCATGTACACTTCGTTCATCTTGAGTTTTTTTTGTCCTGTCCAAGATTAGATAATTATGTAAAACTGATTTCTTCTCAAGAAACCTACAACTGACGTAACTTGATGTTGACACCGTAGTCTCAGTGAGTAGCCGAATAAAAACAAGTTAACATTTTTTATGCTAAAATGCACTTCAACATTGAAAATTCATTTGGGAGAGCTAGTGTGGTTCTGTATTATATTATATTATATTTACTATTCCTAAATAGTAACTTCACTTACAATTTAAAATAATGATAACGCCACGTAAATTTTCCGCCTCTTCATTGAAAGCGTTTCCGAGCCCAGCTCCATCTTCAGTTCAACAAACAAAATGTCAAATTGCAAATAAACTGATAACCATTTTTGAAGCAACATCAACCTGAATTAGCACCTGCATTCCGCAGATTAAACATAACCTAAAGCGTTGCAACAACCTCTCACAAAATCAGTTAAAACCTAACAGAGCTTCACCTAAGGCTACATTTTTTACCGTAAAATATTACTAGTACACGTAATCAGAACAACCACATACTGCAGCAGCTGTCGATTGCGTGAACAACTACATCAAACCGCAACAACGACGTCTTTGCAGCAAAAATTTAGCATATATTGTAAATAGATTCATGTTTGCAATTGGAAAAAATCTACACATGTTTTTCAAAAACGTGTGCTGCAGCACCAACTCAATGCCGCAGCAAGAACCCTTTGCAACAAATTCTTGTAGTAGCAACCACCTCGTGCATCACCATCAGTAAGTTCTTACTGTAACGACAATGCGTTACAACAGCAGCAACTCTATGCAATTTCAACAATAGTATGCAGCACCAGCAGCAGCAACTCCATGCGAAACACCTTCTTGTAGTGGCAACAATTTAGCGCAGCAGCAACATCCCCTTGCAGTGGCAACAATATCGTGCAGCAGCAACATCTCCTTGCAGTGGCAACAGTATCGTGCAGCAGCAACATCTCCTTGTAGTGGCAACAGTATCGTGCAGCAGCAACATCTCCTTGTAGTGGCAACAATATCGTGCAGCAGCAACATCTCCTCGCAGTGGCAACAATATCGTGCAGCAGCAACATCTCCTTGCAGTGGCAACAATATCGTGCAGCTAAACCTTACTGCTACAACGGCGTTTTCTCCACCGTGTCTTCGGTCTCGGTTTTGTGGCTGCAACGAAATTTAGCGGCGATTCCGAGGGCTATGAGAGCGCGAGGATATTACCTGCAGAAATTGGGTTGCTGCGGCTAATATCGTGACGAGCGTTTGCAGGCTCATTTTAGAGGCCTTATCACCGAGTCGAAATCATGGCCATAGTATCGGTGGCCGCGGATGGGCCGAAAGCATTTAGCCAAGGTAGTAATTTCGGAGGATCCACCTACCTGAAAATTATAAGTTGTATATCTGAGACCGAAAAATCGCTACCGGTTGACTGCAAATGAATTAGAAATTTTTATTATTCAGCATTTTAGGTAAATTGAGTCTAATTTCCAAAATATTATTTTCTAAAGCTGTATGTTCCGTGGCCATTTTTTTCCATTCATGCAATAATTTTATTAACATACCAACATCTATAATTCTCATAAACATGCGTGGGCCGGAAAATACGATGTGTCTTGCGTTCAGAATGCGTTTATTCATCCTCCAAGAACACAGCAAGCAGGCACGCTACTTGGTTCATAGTAATTAAATAAAATTACGACTTGCCAATCTAAAGCCAGCCACCAGAACAAGATTCAATGTGCTTAACTCATGGTTCAGTACATTGGCCGTATCTGAATTCGAGATGATTTTGATGACTGCCCATTTTTTGTGGTTTTCTAACATTTTATAAAAGATTAGAACTTTTCAAGTAGCAGCGACTATACACAAACGAATATCTAACTCGCTGTTTGACCAGTGCATTCTCAGACATGAAATTTTATTTTCAATGCATTACTGACAGAGAACCAATTAATTTGACGAAAAGTTGAACGTGTTTTGATTTTTTCTTAATTCGAAACTTTGAAATTTTTCATTTTCATTCTGCATATTATTGAGAATTAAAAATAAAATAAAACTTTCGCTGAATAGATATTTCGTCTATTTGACTCAAACGATTGACTGGTAGCGAAAAGTTGCACAATCGAACATCTCTCCAAATCTGGAGAGGTTTTGGTAGGTCGAAGCAGATTAGAGCCGATCAGAGCCGATTGCAGCAGATTACGCTAGATTGAGTAGCTGTTGATAAAGGCTACGCCAAATTGGATATATGGAGAGCGGCTTGGCTCAAGTGGGTAAGGAGCGTGAAAGGGCGGATCGAAGAAATGGACGAAGAAAGCTGGAGTGATGACATGTAGATAAGGAGTTGGAAAGGGCGGACAGAACAAATGGAAGAAGGAAGTTGTAGTGATGAAAATTGGAAAAATAATTGAAAAGTGTGGGCAGAAAAAATAGACTAAGAAAGAAGGCCACTGAATATGGAGTTTAAAAAGCTGGATGGAAAAATTCGCTGCGTCGGTTAGAAGAATATTAACGCTTTTAAAGAACCACTAAGTAAATCACACTTGTACACCAGCTGACAATATAAAATAAGCTTATAAACGGTAGGATTAATCTCCAGAAGTTTGCAAAGAGCATCCTTCTCAAAAGCCAGCACCTCGAGAAGGAAGGACATGGTCTCCCTCATAGGACAGCGCCCTCGGGAGTGTCTTTTTATTGGATGCCAGAAGCAAGTTTATGGATCGCGTTCTAAAGGGTACACCCATTACATTTTCAACGCTAGGGTTCGTACGGAATTAACGCACTTAATCAGTGATGGCCATCGTATAATGAAGAAATATTATTGGCCTTCAGGGCTTAACGTGGATCGTCGACCTCAGCGTGGCCAATATTTCCCCGATTGGATGCAAGAAGATGCATGCTAGTCTTAACGTAATGGAGAAGGATAGTTGAAACACTGTGCATGAGAATTATCGAAGGATGTACAAATTATATTATGATTTGTTTGTGTAATTGCCGTTAATTTATGAACCTGCACTATTTTGAAAAATATTCGTGAATTACGTCTGGAATAGGGCAATATGTAATAAATATGTCTTTGATCGAAAAAGTAACGAGCTGGCGATTTGAAAGTGAATGTCCGTGCTTTATATAAATTAAAGTGATATGAACTGATTGTCGGTCTCCGATGGATCAGTGATAAGGTCATCATGGTTATAGCGAGCAGGTGTCGCGAACTGCGCTGGTCGTTGTGTCGATTGATTGGTCATAGGACGGCATGATGTTCACATACTGGCGTCCCTCACATACTGGCGACCCTCACATACTGGCGACCCTCACATACTGGCGACCCTCACATACTGGCGACCCTCACATACTGGCGACCCTCACTTACTAGCGTTCCTCACAGTCTAAGGATTATCCTTGGGTGCAACCTTATCAAAAATGATGGCTAAACTAGCCCCGGCCAGCAGCTGGCCATGCATTGGCCGCCTATAAACCAACTCTGATATCTACAACCTGAAATTGTGCAGGATGTTGGGATCATGGTGGGCTGAACGGGCAGGGTAAAGGCGTGTCTGCATGTACGTTAGCTTTTTGTGCGAGAAAATGGGTTGTGTGACGTAAGGCTTTTTGTGTGGTTGGTGTGTAGAGCTGTTGGTGTGTAGAAAACTGTACTGTGAAGGTGCGGCTGTTAACCTGGACAAGTTAATTAACCATCTTTGAATAATTTGCTGATTAAAAACTATCATTTTTGCTGGTCATTTAGCCACAGTTTCGTAATGCAAAAATAATTTAATCTCATGAACAGTTTTCTTCTTTTAGAAATAAGTTTGCAGCAAGTTTCTAATTGTTATTCAAATAGGTGTCCTTTCATGATCGACCACTGATTGGTCAGCGATCAAACATGTAATATTTATTGAGAATGTATAACGAGAATCTTGCAGCCGCAGGATGCAGGAAGCCCAAAAATAATGATTTTTTAATTTATCTCAGAAAAATGTACATTGAACAATGTTTAAAAAAATCAATTAGCATATTACAGATGACCGATGAAGTTTAATTTACCACATAGACTTTTTGCAAATTATTTTGAGGAAGGAAATTTTAAAGAACGGCAGGGAGAAAAAGAGAATTAAAGCGTGAATAAACTTTTTGAAAGTCTTCTGAATGACAAAATCTCATATAATAGCCAACATTGACTCAACTTCTTGGCTTTCTTGAAAAGGTATGTCAAAATATGTGTATTTTTCAATAGTTTCATATAATGTGCAAGTTCTGGGTACGTCACTCCAACGTTAGCGCTCCAATGTGATATAAATGCACTTAAAGAAATTTCTGGATGAGTTATCTTAAATTAAATAAATGGTATTCACCTTCTCTGATATTCCTTTCCGGTTTTTGCATTGCAAGTTTTCATGAGACGTAATAAGGATCATAATTGGTGCATAAACAAGAATAATTTAAATATTCCAAGACTTCATCCCGTTTAGGCACGGGAATCACAGGTAAAAAAATCAATTGATTTTTAGCGCATAATCTGTTACAGAATCAGTAAAAGCT